TTGTACCCTAATGTTTTTTTCTTATAATAGTATCATAAGCATCTTATCTGTATTCATTGGGAACATCATTTTAAATATCTGTGTAATATTACATTAGGTAGATGGGCCAGCATTTATTCAACATGTTTTTGGTCTTGACCCCTTGAAGGCAAGGCACATCCTTCTTTCCCTGTTAACCTATTTTGTTTCAGTCATCCATGAAGTTGGCTAAATGTCTTTTGAATTTGTATTTTCTGTCTGCACCATCTCTTTGAGGTAGTGGTATATGCCGGTTGCTATGTGAAATGGAACTTCTTTTTATTTGCCTTAAACTTTACTCATTCAAGCTTCAGATAGGCTTCTCGGTCTTGTTATCCTTTAGTTTGATGGACAAAGTTGTGTTTACCTTCTTCCCCTCCCCTGGTCTTACAGCTTTAGTTCTAGGCACCCCCTGCCCAGCCTTTATAGGCAGGGACTGCTATGGATGGTAGGCCCCACAGTGTGCTCCTGCCCCCATCACTGATGTGACTGTCAGCCTCTGGTCTGTGTACAGCATTCAGTTGGGTGTTTCCCCAGCTGCAAGGTGGGATGTTTGCTGGGGAGAACAAGATTTCTTTGTCTCTCCCTCTCTTTTTTTTTTTCCTTCCCAAGTACATCTATTTCCCTTCCCCTTGGGTGGCCTAGGGTGCCCTGTTGGCTGGATCTTGGGAACTGGCTGCCACACACTTCATCTTCCCTGGACTATGTCTCTCCTCTTCCTGACTTCTGTTGACCTCCTGTTCCCACTCCACTGGTCCTTCCCTCACAGCGCTGTCACTGCACTCCTGCTCCTGGCCTCTCCTCACCCAGTGAGTTTGTGTGACCTTCGCACTGCATTCATGCTTTGGGACTTAGTTGCTATAATGATGTCAATGGCGCAGGTTGGCAGATGGCGGCAGCAGCAATGAGACCTGACATGTTCTAATGACTCTCTCCTTCCCACCCTTGCTGGCCGAGCTGATGGAGGGGCAGGGGTTTCCTTGAGGCAGTTTAGGAGGGGGCCAAGGGAAATCGAGGGACCCCCAGGTGCCGATGAAGCCTGTGACCTTTGCTGCTATAATATCAGTGTTTCACAAGCAGGGCGGTTCGGGAGCCCACTTGCAGCCCATCAAAAATTGATTTAATTGCAATTTTTCCTCCAATTAGGAGCACTGGAGCCTGACTAATTGGAGTAATAGAGAGTAATAAGGCTCAGATAAAAAGCCTTCCTCGGCGGCCTTTGTATCTCGTGTCAGTGCCTGTCAGAGGTCAGAGAGCTTGCATATTCTATTAGGCAGCCCGGCCTTCATTTGTACAAATTAGTTTACCCAACAGTAATTAAAATGCCAATGCGGGTTGAAGAGAACTGAATACACTTGATGGGCATGTTGGTGAATGATGTGACAGCTCTGGTGGCCTCCCTTGCCAAAGTGTGTCAGCCCCAGCTCAGAGGCGGCTGGGGCCTGGGCCAGCTGGGCAGCTCCAGGCCAGCCACGGGGCACAGCTGCTGAGCACGCCCCTTCTGCTGCCCCTCCTCAGAGCCCCTCAGTCGCTCCTTTTTTCTTCCAGGTGGAGTCATTTGTTCATTTGTCCATTCGTTCATTCAGTAAGCGTTTGAGTTTTCAATATGGGTCCGGCATTATACTAGGTGCTCAGGAGAGAATTTACGGGGCAAAGGGTGTAAAATCACTTGGGTTCTGGAATTAAGACTGACTGGGTTCAAATTCCAGTCCAGCTAGTGAGCTAGAGCAAGTCACTCTACCTCTCTGTGCCTCAGTTTCCTCACCTATAAAATAAGGAAAGTGGTACTTGCTGCACAGGGCTATGAGAATTAGATGGGGTAGTGCTTTTGAAACACCTGTCAGAACCTGGCACACAGCAAATGCTCAGTCAATTATTACTGTAATTAAGGAGGGCTAAATTAAGGCAGAGGCAGCAGGAATCTACCTTCTTTTCACCCTCCCAGCTAATTTAGTCCAGCTAAGAAAATTGGCATCCAGCTAATTTTCCTTCTTATAATCCTCTCCTCTTTTCCGTTATCTTATTATTTTCTATCCCTCAACTTAAAATACCAAAGTCCCTGATTTTCCTGGTGTCTTGCTCTGATGTGAGAGCTCCTATGTCTGCTTCTTGGGCCTGGTAATGATCTCTGTGATGCCAGGTTTGCCTGAGCTGGGGCCAGGGGGCCAGTGAGGTAGGTTGGGGATCTAGGTAAGGTCTGGGACTAGATGAGAAATTATAAAAGGCTGGCTTCTGGTAACAGCTTTCTGGTCCAAAAAGACTAGAGTTTATGGAGTCAGGATGACTTTCAGACCCTCAAGCTGAGAGAGCATGTGCGTGTGTGCATGTGCTAACATGAATTTTTAGATATTGTTGGTACTTCTCATCTATTGTCTGGTTGTGGAGCTGCACCAACAGTGTATGACTGTGTCATGCGTCCTTCAGGTCTGAGTCTGGTGATTTGGGAGTTACTCCTCTAGGGAGCAGAGGGACCCCCTTCACAGCCCATTTGACAAGCTTCCCCAGCCTTGTTGGCTGCCAGCTCGGGAAGGCCCTTTCAGTTGAAGTCCACAGATTTGTTCTGGGTTCCTCTTTTGGGCCAGGCACTGTGCTGGGCACTTGAGTACACAAGAGCCACCAGACAGTCCATGATCTCAAAAGGAAGATGGGAAGATAATTCCAAAATACCATTTGTCCCATGAAGGTGAGATCAGGGTGTGGCAGGGACTAAGAGGAAGGCCAATCAAGCCCCCTGGGGAGTCAGCGGCTCCTGCCTCTTCTTGTTAAGCATGAATTTACTGTCCCTGTCCCTTGGCAGTCCCCATGGTTTGGGTGTGAGTCTTGGTGAATGTCCCAGCAGGACCTGGCTCCAAATCAGTTCATTGCTTATGTAGTTTTTCACTGAATGTTTGATTTGGTTAAACTCTTAGGTCCTCATTAAATGCCAGGGGGACTCTCTACTCTTCCTCCTTCTCCTCCTCCCTATTTCACATGGTTAAGCAAAGGAAAAGGGCAGCTTTTGGAAAGAAATGTTTCTGGGTGTCATGTACAGGCGGTTAAGAAAGGCCTTCGTGGGGCATGAAGGTGAGAGGCACTCCTCCTAGAGGCAGATGGACAGGGTCAGGGTGGGCAGGCAGGAATGGAGGACAGGAGTCCCAGGGTAGGTGTTCCTATCCCCACCCCAGCCTGCTGGGAGCTCAGAGTTTGAGGGAGTGGCAGGGATTCAGGTTCCAGATGCCTCCCATCTCTCTCTCTGTTGACTTACCTTGACACTAATTTAATCCTGTGGCCAGTCAGAGGCTTGCCACAGGCCTCCTTAAGAGGTGTCTGTGTGTCTGTGCTGGCGCCCCTCACCTGGCCCCCAGTCCTCAAAAGTCTAAAGAGCCCAACTGCCTGCTCAAATGATTTCCAAGTGGCTATTACGTTTCCAACCCCAGGTAATTGTCTTTACCAGTTATTAATGGATTATCTTCAAGAGAAAAATGTCAGCAGGGGAGGGAAGTGAGGACAACACCTCCTGGCTGTAGTTCGGGGCTTCAGTGTCCAGTGGCTGCTTTTGGGCTGGGAGCCACTTGGGGCATGATGAAGTGGCTCTTTCGGCACATCACTCTAGTTTAGTGGCTGTGGCACGCTTATGGGTTAAGAGGAAGCTGGGATGACTGAGCATGTCCTTAGAGGAAGTCTTGTCTTGAGGCATGGAAGCCCCAGGGTGGTTCGTGTGGCCTTTTTGTTAGCCTGGGGTTGAAACACAGACCCCTGCCCTGCAATTTTGATTGTAAATCAGTGGCTTGGCCAATTCCTGCCCTAACATCTCTCCATCAGTAAGTGGCAGGTCAACCCCCCACCACACCCCACCCCCCTGCAAGTCAAAGTGACAGCCACCGGCTTCTCAGAGCCCCCTCTGTGGAAATCCATCTCCACGCTGACATGCTTGGGATCAGAGAGCCACAGGTGCTGGGCAGGGCTAGGGCCAATGGGCTGCTGCCCCACATTGCTAACGTGTCATTAGTATGTCCAGGCTCCCTCCCCCCATGTCCAGACATGTAGGGACATGGCCCTTCCCTGCCCCAGGGCTCCTGAGTGACACAGATGCTTTCAACTCTCTTGCTGGAGTTTAGGTTTTCAAGCCCAGGGTTCCTGTTGGCTCCCCCTCCCCACCTCTTCCAAATCCTCTAACAAAGGAGTGGTCTGGCACATAGGTTCAAGTTCTAGTCCTAGCACTATGGCCAGCCTGGCTCATTGCACGGATTCTTCTCACTGGGATTGGGCCTCCACTTAAAATGAAACTTTGCAGATTGTATACGTTGAACTTTTTAGGGGTTTAAGAGACACTCTGGGAGGTACAGATTATCCCTTCTCACCTGCCTCTGGGGCGTGTCTGTTACTGTCCTCTAAACTCTGGCTCCCATCCCACTCGTAGCTGTCCTGGCTGCCTGGCCCCTCACTTGCCCTACTCTCACCCTCACCTTTTCATGTTGTTCCCCACCTTTCATAGTTATCCTTTTCTCACTTTGGTGTATTTACACCTGCCCTGTGCTTATACCAAGTTATCATATTTCCCCAGCTCTTAAAACTGTCAGTAATGCCCCCCAGCCACCTTCACTTCTGACCAGAGCTTCACCTTCCAGCACCCAGCAACCTATTCCCAGGAGACCATTTCTGTAGTGTGACATTGTGAACTTGGTGTCTGTACACCTAAAGCCCGGCAGGCTCGCTCTCCTTTGGCCTCAGTTGCACGTCTAGTGGGGGTGGAGACCACCCAGCCAGGTCTGAGCAGCAAACTCAGCTGTAGTTGAATCCATGGGTCCTCTGGCCAAGCAGCTCTGGGAGGTCACAGCCCTCACCATTTTCCATGTGGTCTTCCCACAATCTGATGGCTCTCTTGGCTGCTTCTCTCATCCTGGCTTAACCCCACGATCCCCTGGAGAATGAGCATTGTGTAGCCATTTCCGCCACAAGTTCTGACAGGCCAGATCTGACTCTGCTTTCCTTTTGTTTGGCAGCTCTTTTGTGACAGGGACGGCTTGTTGTGGGCACTTCTCACCCCTAAGAATCTGGGACCTCAACAGGTAAGAGCTTCCTGTGTTCACCATGGCTTCCAGTGGGGGTGGGGCTGGAATGGCCGAGGCAGCCCCTGCTTCAGTTGGCCGCGTGGAACAGGAGGAGGCTGGGAAGACCCCTGCCCCACAACCCACTGACAGCCTCTGCTGTGGCGCCTTCTCACATGGAATCGTTTGTGTTAGCTTGAGGAGACGGTTGAAATAATTTATAATAGGTAAATAATTTCATGTAGAATTTATGATAACAACAACAATTTGGATTTACTTTTCTCCAACTTTTTCTCTTAGGAGTGCCTGACTATGTGGCTACATAAAATCCTATCCATCCTTTGAGATGATTTTTCTAAAATAAATTTTGGAAGTAGCCTACAGATCCATAAAAAGAACAGTACAGAACAGTTAAAGTACATTCAGGTTTCATTCACAATTCTCTGCCTTGGCAGGCTTGACACATTCTCATCTGATTATCTGCCATTCTTTTTTTTTCTAACTTTTTACTTGAAATAATTATAGATTCATAGGAAGTTACAAAAACAGGAAGGTGAGGTACCTGTGTAATATCTTATCCAATATAATATAAAAATTAGGAAATTGACATTGGTACAATCCAGACCTTTATTCCAGATGCAGTTATGTGTGTGTGTGCTTCTTTACAATTTTATCCCATGCATAGATTCATGTAACCACTACCACAATCAAGATATAGAACTGTTTGTGCTGATGGAATAAAGATCGGTCACGTACCCCTTCACAGTTGCAGCCATCCTCCTCCCCATCTCCTCTCCCTCGTGTCCCTAACCCCTAACAACCAATTATGTGTTCTCCATGTCTATAGTTTTGTCATTTTGAAAGTATTATCTAAGTTAAATAATGTATGTAGTATGTAACCTTTGGAGATTTTTTTTTTTAACTCAGTGAAATTCTCTTGAAACCCACAGAAGTTGTTGCATCTGTCAATAGTACTTTACTTATTGCTCGAAAGTATTCCCTGGTACGGACATACCAAAGTTTCTTTCCCCATTGACCAGCACTCACCCACTGAAGGACACGTGGGTTGCTTTTGACTTGTTGATTATTGCAGATAAAACTGTTATGAACGTTTGTGTATAGGCTTTTGTGTGGACATAACATTTTCAGTTCTCTGGGATTAATGCCCAGGAATCCAACTGCTGGGTCATTTGGTAAGTGTATGTTTAATTTTTTACCTGCCAAAGTATTTTGAGTGTCTTTATCACTTTATATTCTGACCCTAATGTATGAGAGGATCTTCGCATCCTCAACAACATCTAGTATTATCACTATTTTTTATTTTAGCTATTTTAATGGATGTGTTATAGTTTTTTTTTTACATTTTTTATTGATTTATAATCCTTTTACAATGTTGTGTCAAATTCCAGTGTTCAGCACAATTTTTCAGTCATTCATGGACATATACACACTCATTGTCACATTTTTTTCTCTGTGATTTATCATAACATTTTGTGTATACTTCCCTGTGCTATACAGTGTAATCTTGTTTATCTATTCTATAATTTTGAAATCCCAATCTATCCCTTCCCACCCTCTATCTGTGTTATAGTTTTAATTTGAAATTCCCTAACAGCTAATGATATTGAACATCTTTTCATATGCTTATTTGCCTTCTGTTATTCTCTTTGGTGAAATGTTTGCTCAAGTTGTTTGCCCATTTCTAATTGGATTGTTTGCCTTTTCACTGTTGAGTTTTGAGGGTTTTAATATCTTATAGGTATTAATCCTTTGTCAGATATATGGCTTGCAGATATCTTATCTAAGCCTGTAGCTTGTTTTTTAAATCCTCCTAACAGGGTCTTCTGCAGAGCAAAAACTTTTAAAATTTTGATTAAGTCCAAATTACCGACTTTTTCTTTTATCAGTTGTGCTTTTGGCGTCGAGTCTAAGAACCCTTCACCCCAGGCCCCTCCTGGCTGGCAGTGCTATCATCTACGGGAGCAGTGAAGGTGCTCTTCCTGCCTGTCTGCTGCCTCTGTTGCTGTAGCCTGACTTTTCCTTCCGTCTCCCTAGGAAAGTATTAGCCAGAACTTTTTTTTTTTCTGGAAAAATTCATCATATTGTCAATGTTTCCAAAAGGCTTTTTAAAAAAAAATAACACAAGACGTTTCAGTTAAATATGGTTTTCTCTATAATATTCTCTTGATGGCCATCCAACCAGAGAGATAGGAAACCTAACAACTTTCCCAAGCACATTACATCTTTGGGAAGCTCTGAGAGTTGGGATGCCTGCCTTTGCCCTTCATCAAAGGTTGATCTTCTTGGAGCTGTGATCCTGTATAAGAAGCAAGTTGAACCTGTCCTCTGAAGGACAGGCCTTTCAATTTCTGAAAACTTTGATCCTGCTCCTCCAGGTCTTTTCTTTTCCAGGCCAAAAAGTTGGAGGCCTTTCAGTTATTGCTCATAAATGTAGTTGATCAGTTAAGGTGGCTTTGGCTATAAATAATGAAGACCTAATTCAGGTTGCTGAGACTATAAAGGGACTATTAGTATCTTAAATGACAAGGACTTTAGAAGTTGGCTGGTTGATTGGTTCCAGGATTGATGGATTCATTAGTAGTTCAGTGAGACCATGAGTGCCCATCTTCTCCTCAGCTTTCTGCTTTGCCACCCAGTCAAGGTCACTTTTGTTCTTGCCCTCAGGCTTGTTTGTAATAGCTCTACCAACTCATAATGTAGCATCCAAAGGGGAGAAGGAAGGAAGAGGACATGTCCCTACCTGGGGTCCCTTTTTAAGATGAGGAAGCTGTTCCCAGGAGCTCCCAAACAGACTTCTCATATTTAGTGAGCCAGAATTGTGCTCCAGTACATACCCTAAACCAAGCCCCGATAAGAGAGATGGAATGAACAGCCAAGACACATCTTCTGGGCCTGGGGAGGGGCCCAGCTTTTCCGGCATGCACATTGGCAGTGTGGTAGGGAAGGGGCAGGCATAGAATCAGGGTTTGGTCAGCAAGGAAGAAGGTGAGGAATAGCTGGATGGGTGACCTACAGTGTTGGTCTCATACTAGTTCCAGGACCATTCTCATCTGAAAGTTTCTCTAATTTAGCTGGTTTGATCCCTCTTTTTTTTTTTTAATCTTTTTTTCCTTCCACTTTTATTGAGGCACAGTTGACATACAGTACTATGTAAGTTTAAGGTGTACAGCATGATGATGACTTACATCATGAAATGATTATCACAATAAGTTTAGTGAACATCCACTATTTCATATAGATATAAAATTAAATAGAAAAAAAATTTCCTTGTAATGAGAGCTCTTAGGATTTACTCTTAATAACTTAATAACATATAGCAGTATTAATTATCATGTTGTACATTACATCCCCAGTGCAGGAGGGTTTTTCTCCACAGTCTTACCACACTTGTCATCTTTTTTATAATAACCATTCTGACAGGTATGACGTGATAATTCATTGTGGGTTTGATGTGCATTTCCCTGATGATTAGTGATGTTGAGCATGTTTTCATGTACCTGTTGGCCACCTGTATATGGTTTGATTCCTCTTGAAACAGGGTGTTCACAGTTGAGTCCTGAGGACACCAGGTGTGGGCTGATGAGTGGCAAGTGCTATCACCTCCCTTGTTCTAGATCTTCTCCTTCTGTTAATGTAATGTAATGGGTTGTGCTTGGCATCATCACTGACCTGGGCCCAGGATGGCAGACAACGGGGGTGGGGAGGGTGTGCACGACCCCACCGTGGCCCAGCTTTATCTCGAAGGTTGAGTAATCTTTGAGTGGCCTCTCCTGCCTGTGGTTGCCTTGTTGGGGGTGCTCTGGGTGCAGATTTATGGTCAGGATGGAGTTCTAAGGCACCAGCTCCTTCAACAGCATTCTTTTGTGGAATCCCTAAGACCTCACTAACCCCAAGCACTGGGTCTTTACAGAACACAGGAAGGACCTAAATGAAAATGGGCACAAGGCAGCTATGGCCTCAGTTCTCACTGGAGCCATACAAGAAACAGCCATTGCACCTTTTGGCCATCCTGGGAGCCACTTAACTTTGCCTTCTTTCTAGCCCCTGGACTCCCCTCCTCACCACTGAGAAGAGTCAGGCCTTACTTAAAAAACTCTTCTATCCCAGGGAAGCTTGGAGGACCAGTGGTTCAGGGACCAAGGGAAAGATGCCCTGGTGGAGACATCCGCTTTCAATGGGAGGAAACGGATGGACAGGACAACTATCTGTAGCTGTCTTTCCCAGAGAAGCCCAAGCAGATAATAAAGCCATGTAGAAAACAGGATTAAGGTAATGAACAGGCAGGACGGAGTTTGATCTTTCAATAATGCCAAAGCCTGACTGACAGGCCAATCTGGAGGGTGGAGCAACAACGCCGGCAGGACTCAGTGGTGGGGCAGTATGCAATGCTGTGTGGATTCTTTGCTTTTAACCTGTCACTGCTGAAACTTGAGTGCTGGGATTTTCTCTTTTATGTGTGTGCTATGACTTGGAGGGGAGGAGTACTGAAGGGACAGTTTTGCTCAAAGCATTGCCCCCCAGAGGCTGCCCTCAGGATGATGGTGGGGGCTGGGACATACCTCAGAGGTATAGGCGCCCTTTTGGGCACCAGTGCACCATCATCCATGTCTCTCAGGTACACATCCTCAGGAAGCCTAGGCTGCTTTTCATAATGCCTGGGGACCTCTTTCAAGGTCACCATGGCTCCCTCAGCCCTTTGTTCACCAAGATGCCTGGAAACTATTCTCCCTCTGGGCTAGGGAGGGGGAGGTTCTGGCTGGGTCAGAGAGCAGCCATGGGCACAAAGCCACGGTCTAGATGGCAAGGAGCTTGGCTGTCCCCCTCTCCCTTCCTCCTTTTCTGCCTTTCTCTCTTCTAGAGCTGAGCCTAAAGAGAGGGAATTTCTAACTAGATGGAGAGAAAGATTGAGTTCTTCACCTAACTTGGACGTGCCAGGGTGTTCCTGTTTCCGAGGGTAGATGGTCTTCTGGCCTAGTCCCCAGCCCCCAAGGGCTCTATCC